CATTCTCCAAAAAAATACAAAAACGAAAAATAAGCACACTGCCACTGTGTCAATTTGACTCAATGGCGACCCTAGAGGACAGGGCGCCGTGCCCCTGTGGGTTCTCCAGGTGATTCTAAATGCAGTGAGGATTGAGACTATTCAGAGAAAGCCCTGCTGGCCAACGAGGTAGCCCGGGGTAGCCAGTGACCACATACGAGGATGACTGAGCACTTCAAAGGAGGTGGCGAGTCTGATGTGAGATCCAGATGTTGAAGCATTCATAGCTGAAGGAATCTTATTCCCTGATCCGGTCATAAGCTTTCTTTCACTTAAGCTTTCTTTCACTTCTATGTAGAAGCGATAGTGCTTTCGGTGTTGGCGATTAAATACAATGTAGTGCTTGAGTTACTTTCACTCCCTTCCTGGACTAGGACACAGGATTGCTGGGGTTTTTAAACCACTTCCATCGGCCCATCTAGAAACTGTTTCGTTGCTGACGTAACCCACGTTGTATTTCTATGAGCCAGCAAGGCTACAGGTTGGGATCGGTGCAGGGGAGTGTTGAAATTGACTGCTCATTCACTGCCGCCCTGTCCATTCTGAGTATGGTGACCCCAGACGACAGGGTAGAGCTGCCCCTGTGCGTTTCTGAGATTGTCTTTTTTTTAACAGTTTTATTGGCACTTAATCCACAAATCACAAAATTGAACAGTTCAATCAGATCAAGAAGAGTTGTGCAATCATTACCACAATCAATTTTAGAACACTCTCCCCCCTCCCCACCCCCGTGATTAAATCACTTCCAAAATGAGTTGTGTAATCACCGTCCATTCTAGTGGAGACTGGACCTCCTTATGGAAGTAGAAAGCCTCGTCTTTCTCCTGAGAAGTTGACTGCTAGGGAATAGTATTATGGGTGACTCCCTCACCCACTCATTGCCTCGAACTTGGTTCAGGTTCATGACAATCCTGCAGGACAAAGTGGAACTGTCTCACAGAGTTTCCAAAGCTGTAAATCTTTCTAGAAGCAGCGGCGTCATCTTTCTCCTGCAGAGCAGCTGGTGGGTTCAAACTGCTGACCTTCCAGTAACAGCTGAGAGTGTAACCACCGCACCACCCAGACTCCTAGACTCACCCCACACACACACAAAAAAAACCCTCTGTAAAATCTGGAATTATTTTTGCTTAGCTCAAGCCAAACAGGAAAACCCTTGACAAGATGGATTCACGCAGTGGCTGCAACAATAGGCTCAAGCCGAAGAACGATTGTGAGGATGGCGCAGGACAGGTGGTGCTCCAAGCCATTGTGGGCAGGGTCGCTGGGAGTTGGCACCAAACAACAACAACGACAAGCATGCCAGTGTAGATAGGAATCTTCCACATAATTTGAGTCTTGTAGATAAGGAAATTAAGGCCAGGGGCGTGGGGGTGGGGGAGTGGGGGATAAATAGTTTGAAATAGAACCTGGACTCCTGTTTCCTAGTTCAGTCACTGACATCCACCCAATCCACCTAACAGACTGTTGAGCCTGCACTGTGTGCTGGGCACTGGTCTCTATGCTAAGGATGTAGAAGGATGGTGGCATGCACTAAAAACGCCAGGTCTACCTAACTAAATAATGTAAGTCTCACTGTGCTAAGAGTGGGCTGAGCACAAAATTGGGAAAAGGGGAGTGCACACAGACAGAAACATCATTCTGACTGTACCATTAACTGGGGAAGGAAAGGGGTGGTTTTGCATTGATCTTTAAGGAAGGGTTGAGGGGGGAGAGGAGGCTGTCTGCTCCCTGAAAGATTTAATCTGGGAAGGGCACTGTGAGTTGGACTCCACTCAGTGGTGGTAGGTTGTGGGAAACAGAAGGATTTCTCTCAAGTTGTCTCCCCCAAATATATGCCAGACTTACCTGCTTGAGAATGACTATATGCTTGGAGGTCATCAGGAGTGGATTAGGGGTCATTCTCCCTGAGAGTTATCAGCTGTCTAGATCAAGCAGACACCACTGTTTATCCCACAACAAGTAGGGCCCACTCCCTTCTGATAAGGATAGTAGTTGTCTGTTTCCTTGTAGGAGACACCAGAGAGGTCAAACCCGCCCAAGGATGACCAAGGTTAGGCTGCCATCATGAATCTAGGGTCCGCCCATCTCGTCACATGTATACCCCTAGACCTTCCCATTCCTATGGGCACACCCCTAGCTCGTCCCCTTCCTGTTACGCTTATGCCTATCATAGATCTCCTTCCTACAATGTGTATGCCTATTGTACTGCCCCTTCCTGTGACCTGTGATTCTGTAATCATGTCCCCCTAAAGAGAAATAATGGGTGCTTAGCAATAAAGAGGGAGCTCGCTCCAGAGCCCAGGAGGCTCTCCCCGATTCCTGGGACCCTCTCTGGCTCTAGGGCCAGGAGAGGCTCCCCGGTTCTTGGTCCCCAAGCCTGCTCCTGCTCTGGTAGCCGGGTTCCCCCCATGTGGACCACCAAGTGGGTCGGAGGTGAGCAATGCTACCATGTAATGTGTCTGACTGCATCATTGTAATATCTCTTTTGTCTCTCATGCTCTCGATGACTTTAATATAATATATTTTATTTAATTTTATTTAATATATATATATCAGCTTACTGAACCTGTAGGTAGTACTAGCAGTGGGGGCTGGCACCCCACTCCCCTCCACATTTAATTTAATACTACAGTGGGTTTGGTTTGGGGGGGGCTTAAGGAACGTAAGTGTTCATGAGGTAGCAATGACTCAGGGAAGATCTTCCAGGGAGAGGGAAAGCCGCGAGAAAAACATCATCTTTTCAATAGACAGTACCGCTGCAGGAAGCCAACTCCGTACATACTGGAAATAATCCTGCGAGGACCCTGAGGTGTGGACAGTCAGAAGGGAAGCTGACATGTATGTAGATTAGCAGGAGCCTTGGTGGCAACGCCAGGGAAAGTGTTGGACTGCTAGCCACAAGTCAGCAGTTCAAAGCCTGCAGCTGCTCTGTGGTCGAAAGACTAGGCTGTCTGCCCTGTAAAGATGTACAGCCTTAGACATCCTCTAGAGCAGCGGTTCTCAACCTGTGAGTCACGACCCCTTTGGGGGTCAAATATGACCCTTTCACAGGTGCGGCCTAAGACCATCGGAAAACATCCGCCCACATGCAGATACACCCACCTATGAGTACACCGTGCTTCAAGACAAAATTTCATTTATGAATACCCATGCGTCAAGACAAAATTTCATTTATTCGTCTTTAGAAATAAATATTTCACAATATAGTTACATGTTGTTTTTGTGATGAATCACTATGCTTTAATGATGTTCAATTTGTAATAATGAAAATACATCCTGCCTATCAGACATGATGACTCATAACAGTAGCAAGATTACAATTATGAAATAGCAATGAAAATAATGCATGGTTGGGGTCCCCACCACTTGAGGCACTGTATGAAAGGGTCACGGCAGTAGGAAGGGTGAGAACCACTGCTCTACAGGGAGGCTGTGAGTTGGAATCCACTGGATGGTGGGAGGGGGGGTTGGTACTGAGCAGGTGTAGGAGAAGCTATGATGCACCTTTGAAAGGAAAGAAGTCAAAGGTTCAAGTCCACCCGTAAAAGCCTCCAGAGAAAGACCTGATGATTTAGTTCTGGGAAAAAAGTATTTTATCGGTCACTGACAAACCTGTGTGGGGCACAGTCCGACTCTGACAGACACGCTTGGGGTTGCCATAAGTCAGAGCAACTCCTCAAAGCTCCAACTCACTGCCATCGAGTCCTCTCTGACCACAGTGACCCCACAGAGCAGGGTAGAACTGCCCCTGTGCGTTTCCCAGACCCTTTACCAGAACAGAAAGCCTCATCTTTCTCCTGCAGAGCGGCTGGTGGTTTCAAACTGTTGACTTTGCGGTTTGCAGCCCAACTGATAACCAGTACACTACCAGGGCCCCTTCTGGTGTAGAGCAGATGCACCGAACTCTTTATGGTCATTGTTTTATCTCATCTTCAATACGTCTGCATTACAGGTCTTACGATGCCCACTTAGGGAAATTCAAGGCTCAGGGAAGATAATCGATTTCCTTGGCGGGGGAGGGGGGGCGTTGTTCTTTTGTCCCCAGATTTCCTGACTCTGGAAAGAAGGTGCCTTTGCAGCGAGGAGGTGGGGGTGGGTCGTCGGAGAGTGTTCAGAAACATGGCGTCCCCTCTCTTCCTTTCCTTCGTTCTCCAGAACCTTCAACTATGGATCGTCTGGTTCTGAAAACCATGGTTTTCACATCCTGATCCCCACCATTCTGGGCCTTCTGCTACTGGCTCTGCTGGGCATGGTGGTGAAAAGGGCCGTTCGGAGGAGGAAAGGTGGGTACCAAGGCTCAGGCCTCCCTGATTGAAAGGCCCAGCGCTGCAGGCCTCCACTTTCCTAGCCACAAGGGCAACCCGGAAGTTTGGACGAGCAGCTGGGTGTGGGGGAGAGATGGGGGGCAACGGCCTAGAGAGTCAGGTGGACACCTTAGACTTCCCTGGGGGGTACTGGCACTTCCCACAGTCCACTCACACACGGGTCCTGGGGACTGCCGAGTCTAGGGGAGGAGGCCTGCTTTAGGTGTGCATGTGGGCAGAGGGTGGCCACAGCCCTGACACCATTTTCCTCCCCTCCCCCCTCCTTGTGTCTTCCCTGGGAAGTCTTGTCCAAAAGGGTCCGCCGCCTGGCCATAAGGATGCGAGCTTTGGAGGCCTCCCAGCGGCCCCGGAGGCCCCAGGTGTCAGCCCGGCAGCGTTCCCAAAACATCTACAGCGTCTGCCCGATGCGAGCCCGCGGAGCGAATGCCGCCGCAGGTGAGCTGGCGGACCGGACAGGCCGATACACCGCGGACGCCAGGGGACGCCCGGGCTCAGCGCCGCTGCTCCCGGGAAGCCGGCAGTTGTCCCGCCGCCCGATCTTTCCCAGGCTTTCCCGCTGGATCGGGCTGGACGTGAGAACGGAGCTGGACCCCTCCGCCAAGGCCTGATCACTGCCTTCCGGCTTTCTTTCAGGATCGGAGCAGGCAACTCTCCCAGGCCCAGGAGCACCCGAGCTCTCCTCCCCGTCCCAGTTCAGCCCCGCCCCGCTGCAGGTAAACCCCGCCCCGCCGCAGCCCCGCCCCGCCATGACTGGGCGGATGGTCACCTGAGCAAGCGCAGTTACTCAGAGGGAGTCTCCTTGCTGCGGGGCCCACCATTCCTAGCAGGTCCTGGGCTCAAGTTGCACCAGTGCCCTCCTTTGAAAGTGGCATCGACAGACTGGCTGCTAAAGAATTGGCATATATTTAGTCCCTGCCATTCCCTTGGGATAAATGTGGGCTGATGCCGGTAGCTTAGTAATGGAGAACAGATGGGAACTACAAATAGAGGAAGGACTCCTTGTGGAAAAGGGTGGACTGGCAGGAGATTCCAAGGAAGCTACCGGGGACAATTACACTGTATTGCGGTGTAAATGCTCCAAGATGTCAGGAAGGCGATTATCCATCTCTGAAAGTTGTCAAGCCTGGCCAACACGAATTCTTTGGCAGACTTGGGGTGGGGGAGTTCCTCTTCAAATCTAGGATTGGACATGAGTCTTTTTTTTTTTAATTTATGGTTATTGGCAGGCAGGCAAAACGCCTTTCAGTGACCCCAATTGTCTTTGTTTTACAAATTAAGATTTTTTTCTTCACTCTTAGTATTTATTTATTTATTTTTTAAATCATTTTATTGGGGCCCCGCTTATCACAGTCCATTGTGCCTAGCACATTTGTACATTTGTTGCCATCATCATTCTCAAAACAATTGCTTTCTACTTGAGCCCATCGTATCAGCTCCTCATTTTTTCCCTCGATCCCTGCTCCCCCCTCCCTCATGAACCCTTGATAATTTATAAATTATTATTGTTTTGTCATATCATACACTATCCGACGTCTCCCTTCACCCACTTTTCTGTTGTCCATCCCCCAGAGAGTAGGTTATATATAGATCCTTGTAATCGGTTCCCCCTTTCTACCTCACCTTCCCTCCACCCTCCTGGTATCACCACTCTCACCACTGGTCCTGAAGGGATTATCTGTCCTGGATTCCCTGTGTTTCCAGTTCCTGTCTGTACCAGTGTACATCCTCTGGTCTAGCCAGGTTTGTAAGGTAGAATTGGGATCCTGATAGTGGTGGTGGTGGTGGGGCATTTAAGAACTAGAGGAAGCATGCAGGAGGAGCTGGTGGTTTTAAACAGAACCTTTTGCATCACAGCCCATTGCTTAACCACTCCACCACCAGGGTTCCTTAGCTGTCTTCAAAGGAGGCTGACTGATGTACTTCCTGATTATGCAGCCATGGTCCTCGCTGAGAGGACACATTGACACCCAGCAACAGTTAGCAGCTCTGCCAAAGTCACCTTCAGCCTCTGGAACTTACCCTCCCCAGCCCCTCTGAGAGCAGGCTGACACTGGCAGGAATGGGCCAGCAGTGTCCAGGAAAGATTCTGCCGAATCCCGGAGACTCTAAATTCAGCGTTTTAGAAAGAGCGCTGGTGATGCAATGGTTAAGCACTCAGCTGCTCACAGAAGGGTTGGTGGTTTGAAGCCACCCAGGGGCTCCATGGTGATTGGCTTCCCTACGGATTGCAGTCTGGAACCCTCTGGGGAAGTTCTAGCCCATCAACAGGGCCACAAGGAGACGGAATCCACCCCACAACACTTAGCAACAGGGGACTACACATGGAAGCTACTGAAGTGTCCTTCCCACCTTCACCTACTCTACCCTTAGACCAGTTCCCTTTTCTAGAATGGTCCATGATCACACAGACTCTCACCTGGGCCAGTACCTGACTCAACTCTCACCTGCCTCCTTCCTGCCTGGAACTCTCATTCCCACTCTTGGTGAAAGGGCACCGATGAAACTAGCTCACAGCAAAGAGTGAGAAGTTGATGACCAAGTATCCCATCCTTTACAAGCAGGGCTTCAAACTAGTTCTTTGCAGTTAGACCCCTTGCTTGAAGATACTAACAAGCTGGGGCACTCCAGTTGTACTGATAAATGGAATCTATGCTAAATCGGAATTGACATTCTAACATCCCCAGGTAATTGTTAGGTTGACATGTAAATCTGTGGATTCTCATTCCATGTATCTGGCAGGGAAGTGGAAATTGTCATCTGGGGGTTGAACCAGAGTGAACAAGAGTTTGAAGTCTTGCTTGGCTAAGTATTAAAACACTCCCTGAAATACCCCCAAGGAGTCCTGGTGGCATAGTGTTTATGTGTTGGACTGCGATCTGCAAGGTCAGCAGTTCTAAACCACCAACCGCTCCTCAGGAGGAAGATGAGGCTTTCTGCTTCTGTAAAGAGTTATTATCTCAGAAACCCACAAGGGCAGTTGTACCTTGTTCTAAAGGGTCACCATGAGTCAGGATCATTTCAATGGCAGTATGTTTATTATTTGGTTTTGATTTAAACGATTTCATAGGGAGTATATCAATTCTTTAAACCCATAAAAGTTCATTTCAGACGATGAACTTGAACAAGCAGTGAGAGATATATATTTGAAGCGAGCGGCTGCTACTTTTTGTGTTTGGGGAAAATGTAAAATAGCAACGTTGCTTTCAATAGGTGCTTACTGAATGCCTGCTCTGTTTGGGGGACTGACTTGTAGTTTTCAGTGCTTGTATTTAACTTCTCCGTAATGGATGCTGCAGTAGTTGTACCAGGTCAGGGGCAAGGATGCAGCCCGTCCTCTGAGAACTAAGCATCCTGAAGTTTCTGTACGGAAGAGGAGCATCACTTGGCCTCCCCCCCCCCACCCACCCCCCATGGCCCAGCCCCTTCCTGGAATGCACCCTGGTCATGTCATGCCACAGGCTCTTGGAGCCCTTCCAGAGGTACAGGGGATGACTCACTCTACTTCCTACTAACTCCTCAGGTCCTGGGCCACGCTTCTTTATTCCACGCCTTACATCATCTGATCCCCGAGGGGAGACTGCTTACAGCTGGGTTTCCTTCTCACTGGTGCTGAGCCACTCGACTGTCACCTGAGCCCCATGTAAGGCATTTCCTGCCCACAGTAGACCAAAGGGTTTTTCAGTTTTCTAGGGTGAGACTCTACCCTGAAAATCCCCAGGGCGGGGCCAATTGGTGGAGCTCAGGTACTCCTGTCTCTGTCTTCTGGAAGCCAGCAACAAGCCACGCCACGCACTGTGGACCTCCCTGGGCGAGATAGTAAAGGCCCCCTGCCCAGATCCAACACTGCGCCTTTGGTTGCTTCCAGGTGTCTGAAGCTCCCTGGTCCCATGCTCCATCCCTGAAGACCAGCTGTGAAGATGTGAGCCGCTACCAGCAGCCTCCTGCTGAGGCGGAGGATGAGGAGTCAGATGACTACGTCAACCTCCCCAGCCTGACTCACCTTCCCAGCTGTCCTCCCAGGCCAGGACCTTTGTGCCAATGAGCCTCACCTGTCTGCTGTGTTCCAACGCCTGCTCCATCAGCTCTCAGGGACCCATCACCTCCCACTGGTCACCCAACCCTGGCCCCAGTCTGTAGGCCCTGAGCACAGAGCCCGGCTCCAGCTCCTCTTGTACACTTTTGCAGTCCCCTACGGTGGTCAGGTGGCATGCAGGGCATTTGCCCTAATGCCATCTACTCCCTCTCTGGGCTGTGGGATTGGCAGGGTAGTTTTTAATGGTAGGGCCCTCCTGCCTAGCCCTAGAGCACGTGGCATCTGGCTGGAGTACAGACACAGCCGCTGCTTCCGGAGCCCTCCCCAGCTGGGCCCTCACCCCCAAGGGTGCCCTGTGCTGCTTCAAGGAACAATGGGGGCCGAGCGAGTCATGCATTGCGCTGCTAACTGCAAGGATGAGAGAAAGATGTGGCTGACTGCTCTTGTAAAGATTTAAAGTCTCAGAGACTCAAGGGGGGGAGTTCTACTCTGACCTAGAGGATTGCTATGAGTTGATGGTAGGGGGTTGGGGGCTGCTTCAAGGAGCCCTGGTAGTGTGGTGGTTAAAGCGCTCAGCTTCTGACCCAAAGGGTACTGGTTCCAACCCACCGCTGACCAGGAAGAGAATGACATGGTGGTCTGCTTCCAAAGCGCTTAAGAGAGTAAAGGCTTCCAGAAAGCCTTGGGAAGCTCTGTGGAGCAGTTCTATTCTGCCCTACAGGGTCCTATGAGTCAGAATCAACCCAATGGGCATGGGTTTCTTCATGGAGACAGGAAAACTAGGAAAGGGGACTGCCGGGGAAACACACACACACACACACACACACACACACCACCTCCACCCCCGAATATGTTTATCCTGATTTTAAGGTTGGCCCTCTCCAGCGGAGTTTCTACTTATCTTGAGCCCCCTGAAAAGGACAAGGCATGTTGATGTAGCGATGTATTCTGAGCTTTTGGAAACATACTTGAAGGTGCTCACTCCATTAAGCACTGCTGGTTAATGAACCCAAGTGCGATCAAAGTGAGGCCCAAGATTAAGGAGGAGATACCTTCTATATATAAATCCTCTACACTCCAAGTTACTCTGCTTTGATGCTCACACGTGCCCTGTACCCAGCATCCTCCTCTTTCCAACATAGTCTTTTCCATCGCCTTACCCTTCATCCATAGCCTAACACTGACCTTTGTGCATGTCTCTTAACCTGGGACTGTTTCAGCACTTCTTTATCCAAAACCACTGCTCTTTTCTATTTCCATAAATACACCTCATCTCTCTGTCAGTTTCAGATCATTTATAGCAAGATAGCGAGGTGGAGAGGGAAGCTGTTTGGGGTTTCCGGAGGGCAGTAGCTTTTCTATACATAGAAAAGAGCGAGCGAGTGATGTCGCCCCTTCTATGTGAACTCTCCCTCTTTTGGGGGTCTCTGGGAGCAAGGTGCCAGTCAGGCAGTATAGCTTTGGATGTAAGTCAAGGATGAGGCTTGGCTGGAGTCTGAGGGAAAAGGAGAATGGAGTCTTCCTCTTAGGATGAAGGCCTTTCCCAGACGCACCATGCAGCATCCCTGGGCCCTTGTTCAGGAGCTGAATGGAAAGGCAGCCAGACCCGAGTCCTGATGCCTTTTATTAGCAGGAAATGCCTTTACCGATTGGACAATACATTCAGGTATGGTGACATCCTTAGCAATGTCACTCTGACGCTGGCACCCTTGCCGCAGCCGCTGAGGGAAGACTGACTAGGATGAACAAAGGGGGCCACACAAGGGGGAGAGATGGAGCAGAGGGGAGGGGTGGGGAGGAGAGGCACATATGCAATATTTCGTGGGAGCTTGTTTTGTGCGGGGCTCTTTGACGGACATTAGATCTGTTACCTTCGACATCTCAAACCAGTGCCTCCACCCCACCCCAATGCTCTGTTGCCACCAAGACAGTGTGGCTCCTGCAATTCAAGTTCATTTCCCAGCATCCCTCATTGCTCCTTGACAATTCACAGACCAGGCTTGAAATCCAGTGTGTTAGCCCTTTACTGAGGACGCCCCTCCAGAGTGGCAGCCATTGTGGGGGCTGCAAGAGAAGCAGGAGATGGACCCCGGCTGGCTTCCCAGAACGTACCGTCTCACAAATAAATATAACGTCAGTTAAAACACTGACGGCCATTAAATAGAGTTGTTATAAATAGAGGAGTGTGCATCATGGGTCACTCACAGCACCTGAGGGAACCTCCCACGGTTGTCCGCAGGGCCACATTCAAAAGGAGTCTTTGAGGACAGACCTGGGTCCACAGTGGGATCCGAGGCAGGGGGTGTGACACGCCCCGGAGAGCAGCAGGGGAAGGGCACCCGTTTGCTGCGTCGTGGTCTAGAGAGTCAACGCTGGTAGTATTTCTCCATCCAAGTCAAGAGAATGTCCACTTCTCCGATGGCTTTGATCAGAGCTGCTTCTACGTCCAGCTGCAGGGAGAGGAGAGTGGGAGGTCAGTGATGCTAGCTGCAAGGTGCTGCAAGCAAGGGGTCCTTGCCTCCGGCCACTCCCAAGTCACGCCTGCTGCCACCACCACACTCCCGTCTCTGTGCACAGTCTGTTCCAGAGTGGGGACAAACAAGTCTGTGAGAGGCCGTGGGGTCAGAACAAAGGAAAAATCATCTGGAGCCCCTGACGTCAAGAACCATTGAGTCCGAATGTGACCCCAGAACCCCCCACAGTGAGCCCACTGAGTCCCGTTTCCTTGCATGGCCCTGCTTGTCACCATGAATTTGTAGGTTGACTTATCTATTCCTCAGGAAACTGGCCATAATCACATATGCCCTTTTGGGGGGCTGGGTGTGGAATTGGGGTTTGCTTTGTTCTATTCATTGTGGATAATGATAATACAGTTTCCCAGAATAGTTTTTTGTTCTGTTTTTTCCCCTCCCAACTAGGCCATTTGAGCATGCTGGGAATACGGCTGTTGTGTACGAGGGAACACTGTCCAAATTCTTTCTCCCTCAGTGGTTCCTCCAACTGCCTAGCTCAAGTTCCATCAGCCTCTTGCTGAAAGGAAGTCCTCACTAGTGAAACCCTCTCATTAAAAAGAAGCCTTTTTCCTCTAGTTCTTAAATGCTTCCTGCCCCCCACTACCATGATCCCAATTCTGCCTTGCATACCAGGCTGGACCGGAGGATGTGCACTGGCACAGATAGGAACTGGAAATACAGTGAACCCAGGACAGATGAATCCCCCAGGACCAGTGGAGAGAGTGGCGATATCGGGAGGGTAGAGGGAAGGTGAGGGAGGAAGGGGGAACAGATGACAAGGTCTGCATATGGCCTCCTCCCTCGGGGACGGACAGTGGAGAAGTGAGTGAGGGAGACGTTGGATGGGGTAAGACATGATAAAATAATAATAATTTATAAATTATCAATGGTTCAGGGGGAGGGAGGAGCGGGGATGGAGGGGGGAAAATGAGGAGCTGACACCAAGGGCTCAAGTGGAAAGCGGGCGTTGTGAGAATGATGAAGTCAATATATGTACTAATGTGCTGGACACAAATGACGTATGTACAGATTGTGATGAGTTGTATGAGCCCCTAATTAAAAAAAAAAAGTAGCAGCCGTTGTCATGACGGTGCCTCAGACGCATGGCAGCCCCTGCTGTCGGAGTAGAGCTGTGCCCCATGGGGTGTCAGTGGCTGCTTTTCCAGAAGCAGAGGGCCCCTGGGAGACTTGAACTTCACCTGTTCTGCTTCGAGGTCTCGAGCGTTAACCGTTTGCATGGCCCAGGAACCTCTGAGATCACCTTGTAAGGAGATGTATACATACATATTCTTTTAGTCAGTTGGAAACTGACTAAATGACAGGCTGCTTCACCTGTGGTGCTTATGCAAAATGCATGTTAATTATAACTGTAACCGCTCATTGCCGTTGAGTCAATGCTGACTCATAGCAACCCTATAAAACAAAGTGGAGCGGGCCCTGTGGGTTTCAAAGACTATAGTTCTTTACAGGAATAGAAAGCCTCATCCTTCTCCCAAGGAGGGGCTGGTGGTTTCAAACTGATGACCTGGTGGTTAGCAGCCCAACATGGAACCACTACGCCACCAGGGCTCCCTACCACAGTGATAGTGTTGCTAATTCAGGTGACTTTGGGACAAGCCCGCCATGAATTCTGCATCAGGGCTCTGAGGTCCCCTCCTTTGACAGCTGGGCAAGTTCGAAGTGCCAGTCCCAGTTACCTGTTGAAATGCTCCCTGGACCTGGAGAAACCGCCTGCGTGCGCTCTCAGCCAGAGAGAACACCTTGTCTTCCTCCTGGGACCAGAAAATAAAGAAATTGTGCCTCGTGGGAGAAGCAAGTCTCCTCCCGTTCATTTCTAGACGTTCTAGAAGGATGGCCCAGGGCTGAGAGGGCAGCACTGAATCCCTGGCTGCCCGGTAGCCGGATGCCAAACTCTTACAATGTGTCCAGCGCGGGCCTCTTTCACTCTTACAGCAGGGCTGGGGTCACCCCCACTTGACAGAAAAGGAGACTGGGGCTCAAAGACCACCTTGAAAAGAGTCACCCGAATGTTGGCCCCCAAAGACGGTGCCCTTTTCTCTGACACCCCAGGCCTCCCTTGGTGAGCTGAAAGCCAGGACCTACTCCTTCGGAGGAGAGAGGATTCTGGAAACACACCAGGCCCCGCTTTGTTCTCCTCACCCTGGGCTGCAGTGCGGACGCGAGGGCGAGGAAGTTGTTGGTGAGCGTGGAGAGCGCACGCCGGAGCCTGAGTTCAGATGCCTGACGGTAGTAGTTTCTGAAGACGGCTTTCAAGTAAAACTTCAGCAAAGCGCGGATGAAGTAGCAGCTTTCAGCATCCTGAAGAGAGAGCGCGTCTCAGTGGAGCCCTGAGCCCACCCCACCCTCTGGGCCCCCGAGGTGAATAACCCGTATGGCACCTGGGCCCGGCCAACGCTGTTAGTCAAAAGCGGTGCCAGATTACCTAATGAGCAAGGTAAGCCCTGACTTACTTGTGCTTACTTAGTAATCGCTCATGCTTTCCACCCCATGCACGAGGCTGGTCACTCCCCATCAGGAAGTAAGTACGAGTAAGCCTGGGCTAACCTTGCTTATGGGTAACCTGCTCTTGGTCAAGAGATGTAGCGATGATGGCAACATCAGATCTGAAAGAGGCTTCCAGGGCCTCGCCCCAGCAGGGCCTTTGTTTGCCTCAGGCTCAGAGAAAGGAAGGGACTAGCCCAAGGTCCCTCAGGCAGGCAGTGAGAGTCACCAGCTCCTCCCGTGGGTGCTCTTCCCTCTCCACCACGCTGCCTCTCTGGAGGCTGGCAGAGCGTATGGGTGGCTAGCTGTGGTGGCCCAGATAGGCACCCAGAACTTGGTGGCTGAGGCTTGGCGGGGAGAGGAGTGGAAAGGAGGAACTCAGGACCACGGGAGAGGAAAGCCCTGGAAGCTGGGCCTTGCCCGCTGCTCCTCACCAGTTTTGCGTGGTGAAGCCCGGTGCTCTGCAGTGGCCAGGGCTCCCTGTGTGGCCCTAGTGGGGATTAGGGGTTAGTTCCTTGGTGCTTCCTGATGGACTCAAAACTCAGCGCCAGGGCGTCGGTGCTGACTCACAGCGACCCTGTAGGACAGAGTAGAACTGCCTCCGTGGAGTTCTGAAACTAACTCTTTATGTGAGTAGAAAGCCCCCTCTTTCTCCCATGGAGCAGCTGGTGGCTTTGAGCTGCCGACCATGCGGTTAGCAGCCCAACTCGTAACCACTATGGCACCAAGGCTAGATGGGTAATAAGAGTGACAGGAAGGCTGAACAAAAAGAGGGAGGCAGGCGTGAGCAGATATTCCTTCATAAGTAGGAGAGAGACTGATGGCTCTGCTCCCCCGACTTGAGACAGATGGTTCTCTGCCCTTTTCTCCCAAGATGCCACATAAACACCACACACAGGGCTAACGCCAGAGACGGAATGTCCTGCCTAGGAGGAAGGGAGAGTTTTGATCCGCCTTCCCCAGGCACTCCCGACCCCTAGGGCACCAGGTCCACAGAGGTGAGTCCCTGCCCAGGTCTCATTACCGAGATGTTCTGTAGAATCTCTTTCCGCAGCAGTCGGACACTCGTAGTGTTATCCTGAGCTTGCTGGGGGAACAGAAAAGGAAAAAAATGCCTCTCGGTTGGTGGTCAGCATGGAAGTCAGCCCTGCAAACACGTGCCACTTTCCCAGACCCCACCATGTATGCAGTCTCTGAGGTTTCAGAAACCGGAGGGAGCAAAAGGGGAGTCAGGAAGGCTGTGCTAGGCTGGGCCCTGGGAAGAGGGTGCAAGTTTCTCACCCTAGAAAATCTCAAAGCTTGACGTCAAGAGAAAATGCAGTCACAAGGGCTCCTGGAACCTGAACATGGATTTGATGAGGGAGCTGTTGGACTGATTCTGTCACTCAAGCCGAGGAGTCATAGGCCTATTTACTTTAAGAACTCCTAAAGGCAGGATGGTAAGGAGGGAGCCCGGGTAGCGTAGTGGGTACACATTATGTTATGCTGCAAGCTGAAAGGCCAGCAGTTTGAAATCACCGGCCACTCCTTGGGGAAAGATGGGACTTTCTACTCCCATTAAGAGCTACTGTCTTGGAAACCATCAGGGACAGGTCTGCGCTGCCCTATAGGGTCACTATGAGTCAGCATGACTCGATGGCAATGAATTTGGGTGTTGGAAAGACAGGGTTTGGCCTCCACATTCCACAAGTGAACAAGTGGCAGGGGCTGTACCTCTGAGCTACATCTTGCCCTTGGAGTATCTCTGAAGCTCAACCAGTCACTTCCCTCATTGGGGTTTAGAGTCAAAGAATCCTTGAAAGGAAATGGCCCGAGGGCCTATTTGTCTCACCTCTTCAAGGTGCAAATGAGGACACTGAGTTCGGGGGTGGGTAGGAGAATTACAGGAGCCCTGGTGGCACAGTGGTTACACGTTGGCTGTTAACCATAAGGTCGGCAGTTCGAAACCACCAGTCACTCCTCTGGAGAAAGATGAGGCTCTCTACTACTATAATGAGTTACAGTCTAAGGATGTCACAGGGACAGTTTTACCTTGTCCCATAGGGTCACCATGAGTTGGTATTGACCCAATGGCAGTGAGTTTGGTGAGGAGAGTTGGTGCCCAGTGTTTTCAAAGTCAAGAAAACACTCAGTTGTCCTGTGTCCTAGGACTCCTCTCTCCTCAGGCTGCCTCATTCATCTCCCTCTTTTGCCCTAACCCCTGGCATCTTGATCATCAATAAGGAGCTCAGAGTGCATGCTTTGGAGCGCTTTCAGATCCAGGAGGATTCTGTCACACTGTACATACTGTCCCACTAGACCTCAAGATTAGCCATTCTTTCGACCTTTAACCAAGGTCTGGTGGTTCAGGAGCACCTGGAAAAGCAGTAAGTGAACATGCCAGCGGGTCTCCAAAGAGTGCCCCTGGCTTCTAGAGTGGGGTACCTCGTGCTCCCCTGAGATGTATATGAAGCCTACAAGAAGCGTAGAAGTATCAGGATTTCTTCTGCGTTTCCCTTGGGCTCTCCTTCCTTTATTACAGACTGACCACATCTTTCTGAGCATCATACACCTCGGATGTAGACCAGGTTCATGATGCCATCTGACTTCATAGAGTTGTTTTTTAGAAAATTATTGGCAAGCTCTAAAAGTCTCCAGCAGCATAATCTCCTATCCTTGGTCCACAGGAGCCCCATGCTGAGGCCCAGAGCATCTTTGTACTCACCACAGTGTCTCTCAGAGTCCCAAAGGCCTTCCTTAGCACCTGGAGCTTGACCCCCTGCACGTGGCAGAACCCAAATTGGAATTCCTGGCCCTGGACTCCTGGCACCTGGCTCCAGAGAAGCAGGAACAAAGCCAGGCAGGGAAAGATGGTCATCTGAATTCTCGGGTCCATATGTGGTGAAGGAGAGTCCAGGGTATTCTGCTGAAAGAAAGGAGGCATCCCCACTGAGGCCAGCCCACTGAGCCCACCCCTACGCCTTCTTCCGGCACAGACTCAGTACAGAGTGCTGTATCTCAGACTTGATACAGAGTGCTATATCCCAAGTAATGCCCCTTGGGTCTGCTGGGCATCTACTTGAGAGATCTGAGGCTAGAGTCGGTTCCCACTGTCAACTAGAGACAAGTGGCGTCGTGGGAGTGTGCTGGCCGGACTCTTTCTGCCCCTCAATCTCATCACCACTGACCTTGCCATTCACTACCCACCCTTCCCTTATTCTCCTTCACCTCACACACCCTCCGCATCTCCTTCCTGGCTCTGTACAAGTCTCCCAAGGCCACAAGCTGCTAGTCAGAATTTGGCTGGGAAGAGTAGAGAAACGCAGCGGGTTGTGATGCACCAAACAACATGGCTCTTCAAAAAGAGCTCCAAGCTGTCTGCCATCATGTCACCTCACTGTGCCCATATGACTGGACAGGCCACACTCAGGCGGGCAGAGTGTTAACTGGGCATTAGTCTGTTTGTGTCCTGCCTGAAAGTCTCCATGCGCATGTCTCCCCCAGGAGAATCCCATTCCTGGCACCTCATTGTGAGGAGGCCAAAGGGTTCATCCTGGCCTCTAGGGAGGGGCCACAAGATCCCACTCTTGCTCTGCCAACGGGACCCACTAACTCTGGATGATAAGAATTTTACCTTTCTAGGTAATTGAACAAAAGAGAGGAATTCATTTTCCAGGTGAGTCACCCTCAAATTTTCCACTGAAGTGCCTTTTTGGAATGACTGTACCAAGAGCCTCTGAGCCAGAGGAATTTAACACAATGGTTTAGTCTGTCCTACATGCAGACAATCTATTTCCAATGCCTTCCTCCACCTTCCATCTCCTTCTCTCTTCCCTTCCTTCCTCAATTCCTGTCTCCTTCTCTTTCTTTCCTCCTTCTGCCCACAACCATTGAAGACACCTTCTTATTCTAAGCATTGGCTGAAGACCTAAGGAAACAGTCTCCCATCCACAGAACGAGCAGAGACCAGCGAAGACCAGTCTTTGGAATGACTGCCACCACCAAGGCCTGTGGTAGCCTGGCCGAGAGCATTCTCCTCCATCTTTAACAGCCTCCTTCGAACTCTTTGGATTCTCATCTTTCAAATGCCACCTGCTTTGAAATCTGCCTTGAAAATTCATTCCTGTGTCTCATCAGTTTTCTCGCCAGCAAATTCCTTCTCCCATCCAGCAAAAAGGAGGCTCCGGGCCGTAGTGTATTATGCATTGAGCAGCTAACTGGAAGGTCAGCAGTTCAAAACCACCAGCAACTCCGTGGAGGAAAATTGAGGTTGTCTACTTCCGTAAAGATTTACAGCCTTGGAAATTCACATGGGGGCAATTCTACTCTCTCCTAGAGGGTTTCTGGGAGTTGGAATTAACTAGATGGCAGAGAGTCTAAGTCAAAATCCCTCTCAGCCTTCCACTGGAGAGAGCAACTCTTCCTCTACTGTCACACCTTATCCTCACATGAAAACTCACAAAGTTGACTTCTACCACCCCTCCACCTCCAATCCCAAGAGACAGCAGCCTAATGCTATAACAGCAAAGTATTAGAGACTCCTGCTACTCACCTTGGGTGCTGGAATGATGCTTGCGGGCCAGCTGCTTGCCAGTGCCTGATTGTTAGGGCTGCGAAAAGTTAAGTAGGCCTCTTCTTCCTCGTGACCTCTCAGAGATGCAGCTGTGCATGGAAGGTGGCTGCCCCTGGTGTGGGAGTCATTTCAGAAGGAAAGGAGTGCAGGCCAACAAGGCTGTGTGGGGACCCATATATGTAGGGGGCAGGGAGGCGGAGAAAGGGGAAGGGGGTGGAGAAAGGGAAATTGGTCATGCTTTCCGAGTCACTGCCTAGTCACCTACCTGTCTTTAAGCCAACAAGGCAATGGAGAAGGCAGTACCTGAGGGGAGATGGGGCCTGGGTCCAAGTTCTGGTTCTGCCACTGGCCATGTGACCAGGCTGAGTGACCAGTCTCTTGGCTTCTCTGAGCCTCAGGTTCTGCATCTATAACATCTTTGAAAAGAAAAGGTTGTCCTCTCTTCCCCAGAGGGCAGTTGTAAGGACAGTTGCCAACATGACAGAGGTGCTTGGTAAACTCTGTGTTATTACATGAGTAAGCATGTTCTTACCGTGTAGAGGACACTGACAAAATAATCCCATAATTAGACTCAACCAATGATGGTTAGCCCAGAAGCCACAGATAGCCATGAACTCTTCTCTCTGAAGCCCTCGGGGCCAGGAATGTTTAAAATGCTTCCTGACATCGTCACTCCCAGCCCTCAGTGTTGTCAGCACGCAGCATAAAACATGATCCACCTTGGCTTCTGGCAAGGAGCCCTAGTGGTGCAGTGGGTTATGCATCACACTGCTAACCACAAGGTTGGCGGTTTAAACCCATCAGCTTCTCTCCCAGGTGGGGGATGGGAGATGCAGTTTTCTGCCCCTGTAAAGATACAGATGGAATGCTCCACAGGGCAGTTCTTCTCTGTCCAGTGGGGCCACGCACTGAGTCAGGATCAACTTGATGGCAGTGGGCTAGCTTCTGAGAACCAGGAAAATAAAGCAAGTACCCGGTGAGCTGGCCTTGACCTGAACTGGTCTTGCTTTGGAGTTTCCCAGAGAATATGGCAGTCGGGCACTGTGCCGAGCGATCTGGTCATCCCTCCAGCTATAATGTCACTCGGATCTCCCAGGGGTCAAGGGCATGGGTGGGCGGTGGGGTGGGGTGGGACGAGTGTGTCAGATGAAGCATGCTGGAGGAAACGCCAGGCTGACAAGACACTCCTGATCAAAGAGATTTCTTTGTGAAGATAATCAGAGAAGCCACTAACCGCACCTAGGAAATGAATAATATTCCTGAGAATACTTAAGATTCTGAAAAGTCTCCTATGGTAGTGGTGGGGCTGCGAGGTGGGGGGCGGGGTGGGGGGGGTGTATAAACTTTGTGTACCGCATCATTTCCCATAAGTATTTCAACATGAGGAGTACATTTTTGGAACATCTTGAATCCAGATCCGGGATTGATAAAGGACAACCCATTGGTCAATTTTGGCCCACTGCTGCCAAGCTAAGCCTTGCTTTGTTTTAGAAGCTAAGGACAGTTTTTACATTTTTGAAATGTAACAAAATGGGTAACAAATAGGTAACAAAATCAAAGGATTCTGTCACAAGAAGGGTGACATTTTATGACATTTCAATAAAGTTTTATTGAGATGGCAGCCACACCCATTTGGTGACATATTGTCTCTGGTTGTGTTTGTCCCCCAAAAAGAGGAGAGTGGCATAGCTGTGGCTGAGACCCTATGGCCAGCAAAACCTAACATACTATCTGGCCCGTTGTAGAAAAAGTTAGATGACCTGTCTTGCTCTATAAGCCTTTATAAGCCTGGTCTTTATGAACCTGGGGCCAAGCGAGAGAAATGGCACGTGGTTCCAGAAGCAGGAAGCCTGCGGAGGGAAAAGACCAGCAGGCGCTGGCAGAGCCCTGCAGGCCTTCCCAGGCTCTCTGCAGCAGCGACTCCACACTCCGTCACGCACACATGGTGTTTTAAGCAAACACTGTCCTTGTGTGCAATCCCTTACCAACTGCCTGGCTTGCTGCTGCCACTACAAGGGCTGAACTTGCCTCCTGTGCTCCTGGAGGGCCGGAGTCCTGCTCTCTAGCCCTACGCAGGGGCCCACATTATATCTGTTTTTCCCCCCTTCCCTTTTAAGGTTCTACAACATTACTTAAAATCTACGGGAAGGGTACTCTGGGTACTCTGAAGAGTTTACACTCTTACAGCTGACTGACAGGTGGTAGGTGCAAGAGCCACTCCAGAAGTAAAACTTAGTGATCTGCTTCTAGCTCATCAGCCAGCCGAGCACATTTTATTGGGACCTGCATGGACTCACCAGGGGGTGAATCTACTCAGCAGTGATGGATTTTCACTATGGGAGGAAGTCAGGAAAGAAGCTAGGGAGGCGTGTTGGGCAATAAAGAAGAGGAGGCAAGAGAGGGATGGAGTGAAGAGAGAGCTCAGCAGGAAGCTGAGAGGAAAAGTGAGCCTCCAGGGCAGCTGCAATCCCAGACATCTCTCTCCTGAGACTCCGGAAGGGCTGCGAGATTAGCTGGATCCAGGGCAGGCTGGAACAAAGGCATGAGGTCATGGTTCCACCTTAGCAATCCAGTATATTCAGACCAGTAGCTCACACGTCCTAAGGAAGGAATCATATGATATGGTTATTCCAGGAAAATATGTCCTGGAGGCTCAACCTCTGTTGAGTCGATCACAGCACCTGAGAAGGCCAGGCAAGGAGAGAACCCAGCGACCTTGGTCCGACGTCAGTATCAGCTCAGGGATCTGGGTGTTGAGCAGACAGATGGCTTGCTTGCTCCCTGAGCTTTCACATTCTCATCTGCAGAGTCCTCTCAGGGACACGAGGACATAGTCTGGCTCCTTACAGTGTGATCCTTGGACTGGCAGCAACAGTGTGTTACAAACGCAGACTCTCAGACACTTCCCCTAAATTACCCGGACAGAAGAGGTATGTAAACACACCTCAGGGTGATGGTTATATGAGTCAGCACCAGACGTTTGAGAAGCATCTACTCCCAAAAGGCACATCGTACATGTTTAATAAACGGTGATTCTAAGAGAAGGGAGAAAGGTCTAGAGTACTGCTCTCAACTGGGTGCCCTTTTGCTCCTGGGGGATATTGGGCAATGTCTGGATCCATTGGAATGGTCAGAACTCTGGGGATGCTACTGGCATCTAGTAGAATGAACCAGGGATGTTGCTGACGATCTATCGGACAGTGCAGAGAACAGCCCCTGGGAATGAGAAACTGTCCGGCTGGACCAGAGTGTGAGACCTGTAGCTCTTCTCATTTAGGTGATCTCAATAGCACTGACAGTAAGGACCCGAGCGCGAGAAAGAC